AGGAAGGAAGGAAGGAAGGAAGGAAGGAAGGAAGGAAGAAAGAAAGAAAGAAAGAAAGAAAGAAAGAAAGAAAGAAAGAAAGAAAGAAAGAAAGAAAGAAAGAAAGAAAGAAAAAGTGTATCAATGGAATGTGGAGTTGGTCTATATCCTAAGGGGTACTGAGGTTCTTATTTTTATTCCCCAAGTGGTGCTCAAGGGTATGCCTTGATTAAATAAATAAACACATAAACACATAAACAGGAGTGCGGAGTTGGTCTATATCCTAAGGGGTACCGAGGTTCTTATTTTTATTCCCCAAGTGTTGCTCAATGGTATGCCCTGATTGAATGAATGAATGAATGAATGGACAAATAAATAAAGAAATAAAGAAATAAAGAAATAAATAAAGAAAAAAAGATTGTTTATGCATCTATTTCGTCCTCCACTAGGACAGATTTGCTCTGGTTTAGAGAGGAGGGCAATCAGAGAGGACCGTACCGGTATTTCAGCTGTGAGGCACTGCTGCCACACATGATAAATTTCCCAACAGTTCTGTAAAAATATATTATGAAGCTTAAGTTCCGATGCATGAAATCAACAAATTTGACTCAGGGTGACAGCAGAAATTGCTTTCGGAGTGAATCGGACGCGATGTGTCATGTGCCTTGGAAGCAAATTATCTGAACCTATATGAAAAGGCCGTTCTCCTGCCTTTGCTAAACCACAGTGTTATGAAATGCTTGAGCCCTAAGATGGCAATAGGTGGATAATTTAATAGGAAAAAGTGACATCTTATAGTCATTGTTCATTATTATGTTTCTTGCGGCCTTTGTTTTATTTTGTGTTTGAGGATACTGGAAATGAATGGGCTTTGTGGAGGGAGTTTGTTAGAAATGAACAGTGAACAGATAAAAAAAAAGGATGGAGGCCTGGAATCTGAACCAGTGTTGGCACCCCTGAATTTCCTCTGGCATTTCCAGACTTGGTGATGTCTGTGCAATGTGGAAGCTGTGAGCAAAAAAAATGGGATTTGAACCATCTTGCTTGACGATGGAATTTTCTGAAGACGAAGTGCTTTGGACAGTTTCATCCAAGCAAGACTTGATTTTTTTTTTTTAAGAACGGAAAGGGCTAAGAGGATCTTCCCCAATCTGCTATTCTAGACTACCATTCCCAAAATCCTTAGCCAACAGAGCCAGTGGCCAGGGATACTGGGAGTTGTAGTCCATGATTTGTAGGGAACCAGAATGGAGGAGCTTGAGCTAGCCACAGGAAAATGCAGGCGTTCAAAAGCAGAGGAAGCAGAAGCCTTTGCAAGAGGCGGCCTCTGTAGCTTGCACGGTTTCTTGTGGAGCAAAGTGGGGAGTCAGCTGATGGTTTCATGTGACTGTGCTAGATGGACATTTTGGAGAGAATCGAAACCTGTGTCATATCAAACCTGAGCTTATTTTACTGCTTGCGCTACATAAGCAGCTTTGTTTATAACATTGGTTTATATGTACATTTATATGATTGGCATGTTTTTGACATTTAAAAATATACATCTCTTTGTTTTGTGAAAACTGATTACGATTATAGATTATATTAAGGGGAGAACTGCAAACTCTCTCATGAGAGAGAGAGAGAGCAATTTGTGTGTTCAGTTTCTGTCTCCTATGTGTCTAGAGCAGTGGGTCCCAACCTTGGGTAACCCAGGTGTTCTTGCACTGCAACTGAACATCTGGACAACCAACACCGCTGGTGGTGAAGGCTTTTGGGAATTGCAGAACATCTGGAGGCCCAAGGTTGAGGACCACTGCTCTAGAACATTACTGTTCTCTAATTCTTTAGATTGTTTTGTGTCTCTGCTATATCATTAACTAGTATTTTCAGTGAATGGAACTTTTCTTGCTGAAGCATCTCAACAGGAAAAGAGATTTCATTGGAGCTTTTTCAGGTTCCCCAAATTTGATGCGGGGGGAGGAGAGGATGTGTGTGTGTGTGTGTGTGTGTGGGGGGAGGAGAGGATGGGTGTGTGTGTGTGTGTCCCTATTTCTTCTGTGTTTTTCCTCGGCCTTCACATCTCTATCTAGAGGTGATTTTCTGTGTTTTTCCTTGGCCTTCACATCTCTATCTAGAGGTGATTTTTTGTGGTCAAAGCTTTTGAGAAACGGGCTCAAGATGTTGCATTTGAAGAAAGGGGAGACATTTGTAATTATGCCTTTCTGCTTTACAGGTCACAAAGATGGTAAAAACGGTCACAACAAGGACAGTCCGCCAGGTCCCGCTGGGTCCTGATGGCCTCCCTGTGATGGACGGCTCGTCTCCCATGGGCAGTTACACAGACTCTATAGACAGGAGGCACATGAAGAACGGGGAGCGCTACATCACGCCACAAGCTTCTTCCACCTTGACCCGCTCTTACAACAGTTACAACGACTCCTATCCGGACGGTCACGACAGCCAGTATCGCCCTTTCATGGGTCACGATGGCTACGGGGATCTCCCCGACAACTATGGCAGCTTGTCCCGCGGCGTCAATTACCGTCCACGTTACGCCTACGTCCCTGGGAACAGTTACCGGCCTGAGGACGGTAGTTTCACCTTGCCGAGCCGAAGGGATAACTACGGCCCCCTGCCCCAGCCTCAGGTGCCCACGGGGAGCAATGCGGATTTGAACCGCTCCCAGCCGGAGCGATTCCAGCCGGAGCCATATGGGCTCGAAGACGATAACCGCAGCCTTGGGGTTGACGATGAGGGGTACGAACTTGATCCGGAGTACTCGACAGTCAACCGCAGGGCGTCGGCTGGGATGCCTGAGAGGGGAAGGCCTCATAAAGGAAGGTAAAACAATTATACCGGACTTGTTTCCATTAAGCAGTGATCCTCCATGCTATCATCTACGTAATTTGTCTTCTCTCTCCTCCTTCATGGTCTCCAGACATTTTGAATCTAAGCTTCCATCAGTGGTAGAGATGGGCCCGCAGGTGTTGCACGTTGCCGCAGATTCTGTGCACCACCTTCTCCTATGGGCGCCCATTCAGAGGAGGAGGCAGCGCAGGGAGGTGTATGGCGCTGCTTCTGACAGGGAGTCCACAGGAGAAGACACCTTTGCAACAGCTGTGGGCCCAATTGGCCAAACCACTGAACTGCAGTAAGTGCCAATCTCTAGTCAATACAGCGGTGCCTCGCTTAACAATTGCCTCGTTAAACGATGAAACCGCGATTGCAAAACAATGTCTTAATAGACCAACTCTGCTTTGTGACTATCAGTTCCCTGCTTCGGGAACCGATTCTTTGCATTACGACGTTTTTAAAACAGCTGATCAGCGGCTTCAAAATGGCCACCCGCTGTGTAAAATGGCTCCCCGCTGTGTTTTTGGATGGATTCCTCGCTATACAGGCACCTAAAATGGCCGCCCCTATAGAGGATCTTTGCTGGACGGTGAGTTTTTCAGCCCATTGGAATGCATTGAACGGGTTTTCAATGCGTTTCAGTGGGATTTTTATTTTCGCTTAACGAGGATTTCGCTCTACAGCGATTTCGCTGGAATGGATTATCCTCATTAAGCGAGGCACCACTGTAGTCTGAAACTCCTGGAGCTGCAATGAAACACATACCACCTGGAATACACTGATCTTACCAGCTTTTGGAAGCTAAGTAGGGCAGGACCTGGTTAGCAGTTGATTGAGAGAGGACATACAAGGCATCTCCAGCTGGGAAAAATATCCTGCTTGAGATCCTGGGGAGTTGCTGCTAGTCAGAGCTAGCATGAATAGGCGGAATAGCCCAAGGGTCTGACTCTTTGAAAGGCAGGTTCCTATTAAGTCTATGTTCCTATTAGGGGTCTAGGTTAAGGAAAGTTGTTTTAACTGTTGGGTTGATATGTTAGTTTTCTACTTGGATATGACTTTTTGTGCCATTTTTGGATGTCTGTCATTCTGTTCTAGAAGGGCTCAAGGTCCAGCATCTGTGGGGCTGGGCAGTTCTTCTCCCCTTGTTGGCTTCTGGAGGGGTGGGTTCATCGTTACTGGCAGAAAGGGTTGGTTCCTTGTCTCTGACAGGGATACAACCTGCTTTGGTACGAGCATCTAAAACTGAAAACGTTTAACTAAGCAAATTGAACCTGTTAAGGTGAATGTTCATTTAACAGTCTCTTTGTGGAAGACGCTTGTCACTCACGCTCAGCCCAACAAAGGAAAAGACAGTTGTAAGTCCCCTAAGACAGTGGTCCCCAACCTTGGGCCTCCAGATGTTCCTGGACTACAACTCCCAGAAGCCTTCACCACCACCTCTGCTGGCCAGGATTTCTGGGAGTTGAAGTCCAAGAACATCTGGAGGCCCAAGGTTGGGGACTACTGCCCTAAGAGGCAGGTTGATCACAGGTATTCTAACTATGGGAATAAAAATGGAATGAGACTACAACATGGAGAAAATCCTTTAAAACCTGTAACTTTCTCTGTTATTTCTCAGGGCTTCAAGGAATTGTAGTTTAAGAGTCTCGGAAGCCCCAAAGTTGGAAACAACTGTACTATAAAGCAGTGCTCCCCAACCTCGGGCCTCCAGATGTTCTTGGACTTCAACTCCCAGAAATCCTGGCCAGCAGAGGTGGTGGTGAAGGCTTCTGGGAACTGTAGTCCAAGAACATCTGGAAGCCCAAGGTTGGGGACCACTGCTGTAAAGCACAGCAGTATAAAAACCTTTGCCAGAGAGAGTAAACTTTATTGGAAAATGCTTTGGAGAGCGGCTGCCGCCCAGTCTGACCCCAGGCAGTGACAGAGGACCTAGTGACACCATTCCTGTTGCTCCCAAAGTCAACTGCTGTGCCCCACAAGTTAAAAAAAGGAGTATGTGTGGCTTCAGTCTCCCATTGATCATGTCTGAAGGATGATGTGATTAGAGCAAAACCAGAAGACAAGAGCCTGTGTGTGAGATGAAGCTGGGATGATTTCCATGGTCCCTTCATCAGCTGGATTCCCTTGTGCTTCAAGGCCTGTTCCCACAAGTGCCTGCAGATTTGCCCATTTGAGTGAAGCATAGGGAACGCCTGGACGTTTCCTTGTCCTGAATGAAAAGAAGTGTTTTGACACGTTGAGATAACATATAGCCGGCTTGGGCCCTTTAAAGGAGAAAGGTGGGGTAACAAAATTTAATTTTTTTTAAAAAAAAATTAAAATTGTCTACTTCTGCAAGGTTTGTTGCTGCTCCGTGAATTTGATGAACAAACTTTTTTGTTCATCAGCCACATCGTTTGTAAAATACCTATTATTTTTTAAAAAGTCATAATCCAAAAAAGTTTCACAACACAGTTTTAGTAACTTTCAACTTAGTAGCTTAGTAAACCACCATTTATGTTCAATTTGCAACATTTGCAGTTGGTTGAAAAACGTATGATTTTCTGCACAATGTGGATGTGCAAAATAGATCTCCACAATTTTTTGCACAAGAAATGCTAAAATGGGGGGAATGTACCAAAAATAAAACCCCTCTTGAAATCTCATCCAGTGGAGAAAAGACTTCCGAAATGAAAAACATTTTAATTTGCAAGGACAAACAAATGGAAAAACTTCATGAGCTTACTTTATTTGTCTATACCAGCAAAATGTATAAAATATGTATGTATACTGCAGCGAAGATGAACTAGAACGTAGTATAGAGAAATAAAGATAATTTTGCAATGTCGGATCATATGCCTTGCTGGCTGGATAGCTCAGTGGTTTAGGTAGTATCTGGCTGTGGAGCCAGAAGCTGGGAGTTCGATTTTCCCACTGGGCCTCCTGGGAGAAAAGCCAGCCTGTGTAGCCTTGGGCCAGCTGCCCAGTCCGAGAAGAAGGAATCAATAAACCACTTCTGTGTATTCTCTACTTAGAAAACCCCGGAAAAGGTCACCATGAGTCAGAATTGGCTCGGCAACACACAATTATTATTATTATTATCAAATGCTTATTGGAGAAAGTTTTTGCAGTTGCTCAATGCACCCTGGTTAATATTGTACCTACTTTTGTTACACTTTGCAAAATTACAAACAACTGATGATGTCTCCCATCTCAGTGCATTTGCATTTTTTAAGACTGACGCAATGAATCCCTTTGATGCATTATTCTGTGGCATCTCCATCAGACCATCTTATTTCCAAGGATGAGTGCATTGCATTTTTCTCCATATTTAAATATGATCAAGGAATTTTGACATCTGATTTAATTTGAATGTGGCTTGTAGGAACATAAAGAGGCAAGTGAAGTGTCTGCTGTTTAAAGGAGCGTCTTTTACCGACTTCAAAAATACTGAGGGCAATTTTTGCATGAATAAATCAGCCACTGATTTTCATTTCCAAGGAGCCTCTGACAATAAATAATGTTTCCTGTTCCGCGATAAAGCCCCAGAGTAATTGGCCTTTGATTGCAGAGTATTGTCTGTGTGTGTATGTGTGTGTATTAATTCTTAGCTTTTCTTCCTTAAAAATAAAACCTGTGTTCAGTGAAAGGCAAATAGATCAGACAACTTTCGGAATTAATATGAAGACAGTGTCACTTGTCTACCATTGGAGTTCTGTTGATATGTCTTCGTGTTTTTCTCCCAACGGTCAATCTAGACTTCCTCTTCTTTTGATTCTAAATAACTGGGATTCGAATGTGGTGTGAGACTCTACTTCCAACAGCTCATTTGTATTGCATTTGTGTGCGTATTTAGAAATTTTTTTAGTGAGATGCTGTTATTTTTCCGTGCCTTCAAGTTGGAACCGACTTACAGCAACCCTAATGGGGTTTTCAAAGTGAGATATTTAAGGAGTGGTTTTACCAGTTCCGCTCCCCCATCGAGTTTCCGTGACCAAATGGGCATTTGAACCCTGGTCTCCAAAGTCTTCGTCAATCATTCTGTCCACTACGCCACGCTGGAAATTTGAGCAAGATGGGTGGCACCCATTTTGCAGAAGGACAAAACAATTATTTTAAAAGACAAGTCATTTTTCAGGGAGGTTGGGTCTGAATCTGTGTCTTGAGTCTTTGGTACCAAGTCCCAAATCTTAAACCCTAAGACTAACTCCCTGTTAAAAATAAGTTTTCCCCCAGAAAAAAAAAGGGAGGAGCGGGTGGGTTCTGAGTCACGAGCTAAGCCTGAGTCATTGGTGAAATTAAATCTGACTTTACAGCAAATCCAGACACCGACATCCCCATCCTTGTAATTTCCCCAGAAACCTGGATACAAGGCAAAAGTGAGATCTGGGCCAGACACTCATGAGGTCACTAGGTTACTATGAGAGTGAAAGAGGAACTGTTTATACCACCCTGAGCCCCATGGAGGAAGGAATGGGAAATTTGATCAATACAATCAGTTCATTCCCACACAGACACCACTCCCTTGCTACAGTCTCTTGTAGTGAGGCTGAACCCCCCCTTTTTTTGGAACCTCTTCCTCCTAATATGCATTCATCTTCTTCCGTAAGACACAGGGTGACCTATTTTTGCTCCCGGCTTAATTTTTACAGTACAGTGGTGCCTCGCTAGATGATGATAATCCGTTCCACTGAAATAGCTGTTTAGCGAAATCATTGTCTAGCGAAAAGCATTTCCCCGCTGGAATGCATTGAAACCTGTTTAATGCGTTCCAATGGGGAAGAATCATCGTTGTCTAGCAAAGATCGGCCATAGGAAAGCCGCTTTGCGAGCCGCCGATCAGCTGTTTAAATCGCTGTCTTGCGAAGTGTAGGTCCCGAAAACATCTGTTTGCGAGCGCGGAGGGAGCTGTCAAAGTCGTTGTCTAGCGAAAATCAATTTGCAAAGCAGGGGCCAAACATTGTCCAGCAAAATTCCCCCGCAGGAAGCATTGTTTTGCGAATTGCTAT